ACCTCCCCAGGAAGATGAACCCGTTGAGCAGGAAGCACTGAGCGATTCTGATCGACAGAGCCCTCGAGCTGCATCCAGGAAGTCGCACGGGTAAGGTTACTAGAGAAGTGATGCATCGATGCTTCGTAATGGATCAAGGGAAGCTAAAATCGCCCCCGATTTGACGAAATAACACCCAGGAACCGAGAGTAAGGGGTGGGAGGAGGGGGAGGGAGAGGGGGCGGGCGTAGAGGAGAACCTGACGCAGAAGGAGACGACGCGGTGCAGACGCGCGGCCTGGAGGAAGCCGGCGAGCCAGAGCACGGCAGCCGGCTTCGCTTGCGAGGCAAGCGACTCCATCAGAGAACGGGAGAGCCTCCTTTGGAGAAGATGTTCATTAGGGGAGAAGAAGCTGTCTGCGGACGGAATACTGCATCGCGTTAAGGGTTTTTTTTCGAGAGTTTGCATCACTTGAGGTGTTTTTTCGTGACCCCAGCAAACTTTTCCCCGACACTCAATCTGACCTACATGCCCCACGTGTCAGTATGATGTCCTTCTTTCTTCGGAGATTGTCGGCGTCCTGGGAACGGGGGTTCCAAAATTTGCCTGCCTGCGGTCCACGGCGTGACTCCACCAACGGCCCTGTACGGTTCATCTTCATTAGCGAACACTCAAGACCCTCGCGAGGGGCCAAGCCTCGTGAGGTGGACGACACAAGACCTTCTCGGGGACGGCCTCATCAGGCTGGCTCGCGAGGGACGAAAAGATCAAGGCGAGGGACACCTCGCGAGGTCCCTGTGACGCAAGCCATGACGACCAAGGCAAGGCGGGTGCCGGCGCGCGCAGTGTACTCGTTTCCTTTTTGGTACTAAAGAGACAAGCACAGACGAGGAGTTCCAAGGCATCAGGCAAAGATTTCCATATTGGTGCAACAAGACCGAGACTAGCAGGACGGCAGGACAGAGATCACCATGAAGCCTAGGACGGCGTCACCACCAGAGCCTTTGGCAGGCGAAGACCACCTTTTATCAGGATAACTTGTACTAGTTGCCCCCTTTCAAATTTGGCCGTTGTTGGATCCCTTCCCGCCTACATTTGAGAAGAGGACCATGGCCTCTATAAATAGGACTAGCCACCACAGTAGGAATGGGGGAAGACGGGTCTAGGATCATTCAGATCATCCACAACCACACAAGCTCACCAAGCTCAAAAACACCTCTTCTCAGGAGGTTGTTCTTCCCTTGTACTCGTTCATCCTCAGCCAAGAGGTAACCCACCACACCATATTGGAGTAGGGTATTACACCACATCGGTGGCTCGAACCATTATAAACCCTGCATCCTTTGTTCTGCGAGCTCGACGAGTTGAGCCTTTAGATTGTGGTGAGAGCGTGAGCTAGGGGGAGGAGAGATCTTCGTGTGCACCCCAGAGTTCGAACCTCAAGGGTTTTGCCAGAACCCGAAATCCGACATTTAGCGCGCCAAGTAGGGGTGCGCTGAAGCTTTCCTTCTGTTGATCCACGTTCCACCGCATCCATGACAGACGTGCGTCAAGCCCGCGCCGAGCGCCGGTCCGCCCTCGCCGCCCGTGTCGCTCAGACGGCCCCTGTCGGCGGGCCTTCCCGTCATTCTCCATCACTGTTGCCAACGCCGCTACTGGCCCAGCAGCAAACAAGCAGCAAGCATCATCACTCCACCCCTTCGTGCGGCGGGACGGCCGCACCGCCACCCCGTCGCTGACTCCGGCCGGCTCATCGTCCCACGCTCGTCGTGCGCCCACCGATGCGCAGGTCGCGTTGCTCATGGCGCGCGAGCTCCTGCGTTACCTACCGGTTGACGACCTCTATGAGGACTGGTTAGACCGCACTGCCGAGCTCGTCAGCGCCGCTGGGGGCTCTCCTGCACCATCCCTCTTGCTGCCTCGCCCACCTCCAGCCGCGGGGGACGTCGCTCGCGGAGCTCCTCCGCATCAAGACGGCGCCCTCGCGTCGAGACGCGCAGCTCACGGAGCGCCATTGCCTCCTCCGCATCAAGACGGTGTCCTCGCCCCAAGAGGCGCGGTCCCGCGATGCGATCCGCCACGCCGTGTGCTCGCGCACGAAGAAGGCAGCTGCCAGGAGGTCCCTCGACTGCAGGAAAATGCTCCAGCTCTCCCGGCGCCACCACGACAAGACCGCGTCCTGCCTACGGCGGTGGTGCGCGGACATCAAGGGCAGGCTTCGCCTCCGCAAAGGGTCCCAGTGGCCACAACAGGCTGCCGAGCCTTTACTCCCGAGTTGCGCACCGTCATTTGGCCAGGCAAGTTCAAGCTAGATCTGCCCCCGCGCTACGACGACACCCCCGACCCCGCAGAGTTCCTGCAGCTTTACGAGCTGAGCATCGAGGCGGCCAATGGCGATGAAAAAGTCATGGCGAACTGGTTTCCCATGGCTCTTAGGGATGTGCTCGCTCGTGGCTCCTGAACCTGCCCGCCGGATCAATCTCCTCCTG